TCTCTCTCTCTCTCTCTCTCTGTGTATCTGTCTCTCTGTCTTCCTCTCTCTGTCTCTCTCCCCCTCTCTCTGTCTCTCTCTCTGTCTCTCCCCAAAACTAGCCCACTTCCCCTAAGACCCCATCATCCACACACGAGGGCATCTCTCACTAAAACACGCCCAGTTAAGCAATGATTCCCAATAAACCCTGGCAACAAAAAGAACCAACCGCAACACATAATTTAACCGTCCAAATCCCCAGAACGACCACCAATCTGGTGACCCTGTTACTTCGTCTTGCATTGCTCCTGACGTAATGGCAGAATCGCGTTTTTTGCGCTTTGTGATCGAGTGAAGATTACACAAAACCAGCGAGTTTCGAATCCATTTCAAGGCACTCACATCCATTCCCACAGAAGTTTTAAGTGGCGTTTGTGGTGGTCCTCGACAGTACTTGAAAGCTTTGTGTACGGGACTTGAAATTCCAGGGAACAGCTTAGGAGCATTTTTAGATGTGTTCCTCACTCTCGCCTTCTCTTTTTTCTCACTTCCCTGATTTTTTTGGCAAACCATTTCTTACAATAACAACGCCAAAGTGGATAATCGAAACTTAGAAGACATTGATGTTAGCGGTCTCTGCAAAATGGAACCTGGGGATTGGGGGATTGACTTTTTTCTTTCTTTTTTTTTATAACGGGAGGGGGGGGAGTGTTGTTTATATTTGGCTTTTTTAAAGAAAGGGTTTGGGGAAGGGTGCTCTGGTGTGGTTTGCTCCTTCTTTCCTATGAAACACCTATCATCCTTATCTCCCCTTCTTCTTTTTTATGTTTGTTACTTTCTTGTAACCTCTTTTGTACGCAAAGTACTTGGAATCCCCGTAGTTTGGGGCTTGAAAAACTGTTGTGTAGTTGGCTTAAATAGCAACCCCCTGGGTGTAGTTCCCTCCAGTACAATGGCAGAGCCAACTTCTTTACTCTAGTCATTTTGGTGGTGGTACTTTGTGCTTATGGGGCATTATTCATTATTTTACTTCTGCCATACTTATTAGTGTAACACCAGGGCTCTTGTATAAGCTCTGCTCTTCCATAGCCCTTGAACTTTATATAAATGGGCAATATTGGTATCAGTAGGCTATTGATTTAGGATGGGGATATGCTTTTAGCCAAGCTGTTTCATGCTGCTCAGTTAGTTATACGTTTGATATGGAGTTTAGAGAGCTGTTTGTCTTTCTGTTTTTGTTGATGTTTTGTCCAGGTGGGGTTGTTTTTTTTTGGGGGGGGGGTATTTTGATGAAGAATAGGGCAAAGCTATTTAATTTTAATCCGACTGCTGTTTTGTTCTCGATTTATAAATATAATGACTTTAGCTTGAGTTAACTTTGCGGGGTTTGAAGTTTTTCAGAATTATAGTCTTGTTTGGAGTGTTAAATTATTTTGTTGTTGGTGGTTGGCGGGTGCTCTGGTGTGGTTTGCTTCTTCTTTCCTATCAAACATCGATCGTCCTTATCTCCCCTTCTTCTTTTTTATGTTTGTTACTCTCTTGTAACACCTCTATTCTTCTGGCGCTCATATGACCTTATGCAGTTGCAAGTGCCGTAAAACCTCTATAAAACTAAATTATATTGATGATTCTCTGTATTTTAAAAAAGACAACAGGTCGTGTATCTCAAGAGGATTACCTAAAGTGTAACGAAGAAGTTGTTTCAAAATATTTCTTTCACTCCAGACTTTAGCTTGAAACTGCTTAACAATTTTTAATAGCTTTCTTGTTAGCAGTTTTGGTTTCAATAGTAAAGAAAATATCCAGTAAAGACATAGTAATCCTATTTGAATATCTTATATTGGAAGTAAAAATGACTTGTGATGTTAGGAAGTTACGTTCACGCAGTAAAAATTAATTACAGATACCAACAGATTGTGGCTTTATAAACCAAGATTAAAAGAAAAAATATAAAGTGATTAAGCCCTTTTGTAAACTCTATAGACATAAAGGAAGAATGTGGGTGGTTGACAGCGCTCTGGTGTGGTTTGTTTCTTCTTTCCTATCAAACATCTATCGTCTTCATCTCCTCTCCTTCTTTTTTGTGTTTGTTACTCTATTGTAACACCTTTGGTCATCGGCACTTACATGACCTTATTGTGTTGCAAGTGCTGTAAAACTCTTACTAAAACGCAAAAGCTCAATTGTTTAGGTGCTGTAGTGCCTTTTAGTTCTTTCTTTTTAAAAAAAATGTCTTGAATAAGGAAACCAGAAGAACTTTGCCTCAAGGCACAGGGAATTAGCCCACGTGCATGGGGACACAGTAGACATTTCTCTCACTGAACAAGGAAATTCCCCCACCAGGGCAATGCTACTGACTGAAGTGTCTTTAGGCCATTTTCAAAGGGGGGATATTAACATGTTCTTATGCACAGTAGAAATGCAAATGGGCTGATTTATCAATGCCATTCTCGTACTGTGCCGGAACAACATAGGGGGAACTGCTGCTTCTTTTTCTTTCCTCATCCTTACTATCGTCATGTTCCTACTACTTCCTTTGTATGTTTGTCACTCTCTTGTGAACTGCTATTTCCGGGGTGCCTTGATAGTCGAAGTTGATTTTGTGCTGTTGAAGCTAGAGAGGTGAGCAGAGTAAACCTGATTCCTCGTTTGGACTTCTCTGTTGACATCCACCCTTTGGCACTCATATGACCAGACCTTATGCAGTTGCGAGCGCCGTAAAACCTTACTGAAACTAAACAACAAGAATGTGGCCTCAAGACACAGGGAAGTAGCCAGTGTGCATGGAAAACAGTAGACATTTCTCTCACTGAACAAGGAAATTATGCAGTTGACTCCATTACTGGGGGGAGAATGTTCCTCTCCTGGGGGATTGTATCCCAGAGGAGATGGG